AAACTTTATCCTCATTTTCTCATTTTTCCTTATTTAAGCCCCACAATTCCCCATTTCACACATTAAAAAAAAATCTGATGATCAGAATTTACATTTGTTAAGATGCACAGAGTTTACCATAAGGAAAGACCAGTTTATTTATTTATTTATTTATTTATTTTAAAGATTTATTTATTTATTTATACAAGAACCGGGGTACAGGCCAGATGCATAGGAGGGTGAGAGGATTCACCAGAGACAGCAGGGAACAGAACAGGCAGACTGACTGAAATACCCTGCTGAGGGGAGCAGCGGGCACAACAGGAGCAGTCTGCTGCGCCATGTGGGACCCTTGCTGGCCGGCCGGGATTGAACCCATGCTGCAGAGGCTGTGGATAGCTTCACAGCGCTGCACTCAACCGCCTGCACTACCAGGGGATGCCCAGGGAGGACCAGTTTAAACTCAGGTCTGCCTCCTTCTGAGGCACAGAAGTGGTGTGAAGGTGCTCCCTCTGCACCTTCTCCAAAAGGTGTATTCTCTTCTAAGTATTCTAAAATATGTCTTATAATCAACCTTTGTTGACAAAACAAGTCTCTGCTCACTTATAAATGGCATTGGCTATTCATTCTTGTCCATTCTTGGTAGAAATCAGAATTCTCTTCTTCCTGGTGGAAGCCCTAGGCCAGGCCTGTGTTTGCATGTCTTATTGACCTTCAGCTGGAAAACTGTTCTCACTGGACCAGACCCATTAACTTCCCAAGATGAGTGGCAATTTTAAGAGAGGACCCAGCTCACCTCAGAGGCACAGCAGTATTTTTAAATACACCAGAATGAGTCATAATTTTCACCCCTGTTTGTTTTTCCTACTCAGTAGTTTGTTGAAAAGAAAGCGGGTCCAGACTTAATTCTGTCAACCTCCAACACTGGGTGAGGCAGAGAGCCCAAGAGCAGGCCTGTAGCCTGTACTGTCAGCTTAAGGAAGTTGGTCCCAGTTTTCTGTCCTTGGGGCTTGTTAACAAGACCCAGTAGGAGAGGTTGGCTTGGGCACGTTCCTCAGGAGGAAGATCAGCCTTTCCTGATCAGAACAATGGGCAGCGATGTTGGAACCTTCTGAGGAGGTTGCAGATACTGTTTGCTGATCTGGGTGGTGGTTATGTTAGTAATTGCAAATGTAAATTATCATAGAACCATATCTGTGGTTAAGATTTATTCATTTGTCTTTAAGTTACGCCTCAGTGAAAAATAAGGGGTGGGGGAATAAATCACTGTCCCTCAATGTTCACAACCTGTGAACAGGGACACTATTATATTTTGTTCAAGTCAATAAACCCTTTGACCAGATGGATCAATGGGAGTTGGAAGCATATATGTGTCTTTTATGTGCATTCCCCCCCATCATCTCATACATTCCTGAAGCAGGGTCCTGGCCCCTGACCAGTACCTATTCCCCTTAAGGAATTATCTTTGCCATTTTCTTAGGTCAGCAGAGTGAAGTCAGCTGGTTTAGAAGACAAGAGGCTTTTGTGCGACTCCCCTTCATTAAGGACCTCTGCCTGGGGACTCCTGTCAAGATCTTCCCTCTGGTGACCCTGAGGCCAGTCCTGTGGGGCCCCCTAGGTTGAACATAGTAACTGCAGCCACCTTACCCCAGCAGTAGCCTGAGCCATTTCTGCATTCTTTCTTTGTTCTGCCCTGTTTGAAGCATATTCTTTCCCAGAATTTGACTTCTTCTGCCATTAAACTGCTCTTGGTGACTTTAGCTGAATTTTTGATGAGGCTAGGCTGGAAGAAGCTTCAGGGAATGAAACAGATATTTTCCTAGGCAATCGCCCTAGACGTGGGGATGGGTTTAAGCAGAGTTGTGGGCCCTCACCCTTCCTTTCCCTAAAAGAGAAAAAGAGGCAGCACCTGGGACTCCTGGCGGTGGTATTCACAGAGGCCTTGACTCTAAGTAACTTAAAGGAGGAGGGGATTTGGCCTGGTCAGCGCTCTAGTCCTGGAAGCTAGTAGCTGTTGCTTCTGAAGTGAAAATTGACAGGATTGAGAGATAAAGGTGACCTTTTTAGTCAGTGGCCTGTGGGACAGGGTTATTTATGGTGTTTCTGATCCGGCAGTTTCAGAATTCTGGTGACTTATTTTCTTTTTCTTTTTTCCTCCCTCTTCACATGTCATACACCACCACATCTCATACTCTTACTGTCAGATCTCAGCCTTAAAAAAATACTTGCACACATAAACAGAAACCCTTTGTTGGTGTTCCTAAACTCCCAAAGAATCAGTTGTCATAGCAACGGCTGCCACACACACATTTTATCATTTGAGGTTCCCATCAGGTTTCCCTCCCATCAAGCAGCAACAGCCAACACTGCTATTAAACAAACTATTAATATATTTTTATAGTCTCTCGGCAGTTTTTAAGTAAATTGTATTTGCTTCCACCTTCAGGTATAATTAGTCAGGCCCCATAAATACGGTGATGTTTATGAAGAGGCTTATGGTATTGATTTGCCTTTAGTCTTGCTTATTAGTGGATCCACTATGTGGAACACACAGAGATTTGGGGGGTTTCTCTGAATACAACATGGGATGCCTTAATTTTATTTTCTGAGATTTTTGACATTTCTCATCATTGTCTTTGTTTTACCTGATGGTTTTAGCACACTCATTTTTTAAGAACTAAGTATGAGTGAAAGGCCTAGGAGATTTGAGTACTTAATTATTAACCAACTGTTTGGTATAATATTTAACTAACTAATCTGGACAATTACATAATATCCTTCTTTCAAAATTAGACCATGTGAACACTAATAACCAAATAGATTAGATATGAATTTTTTTCATTGTTAAGATGCTTGGAAAAGTTGTAGGATTTATTTGAACTTAGTGTGTCAAATAAAAGTCTGGCCTTCTGAAACCAAATCCATACATGTCAGTCACCCTTAACTCAGGGCTGTGGAGGAAGGCAGTGGTCAGGTTGATCTGTGGCCCCCAGCTAGCTACTTGTGAAGGGCATTCCTTTCCCTGCCCTGGTTCATCCCTTGCTCACAACACAAACACTGCAATGTTAGTGACTGCTATGGCTGCGGAAAGGAATGGGGTGTAACCTCTTCAGAGTTGGCTTGTGATGTGCCTCCAAAGTCTTTCCAGTCTAACTCCCCCCTTCTCTCAGGTCCCAGAGATGGGGCAGTAGGTGTTACGCCAGGCCTGGCCGTAATGCATTCCAGTTTCCAACAGCAAGGTTCAAGGCCTGGGCTCAAGCCAGACCAGTCCCTTGCCAGCTGTGTGCTTGGGCAAACTATCTAACTTCTCAGAAGCTCATTTCCCCCCTCTGTACCATAGAGATAGTACTCTCCCATTAAGCTTTAATTAAATGAGATGTATGTTAATTTAATGTATGTCATTTAATAAAATGATAATGTCTCTCTTTGGCAATAAAGAGTATGGACTCAACAATGACCATTGTTTTAATTATAATATAATAGTAGATGATATGGAAAGCCTGCTTTCCCCATGGTTTTTGCCACACTTTGAAATAACTTTTTTTAAGAAACTGTCTCAAAAACCCTTTGGTAGAGCTATTCTCCCATCCCATCTCTCTACCCTCCGAAAAGGGGGATTTTTAAGTTGCAGTAAAACACATAAACATAAAACTCATCTTTTAAGCCATTTGCAAGTACATAATTCAGTGACATTTTGTGCATTCATGATCTTGTGTGACTATCACCATGATCTATTTCCGGAACATTTTAATCACCCTAAAAGGAAACCCCATAGCCATTAAGCAGTGTAACTTACTCCCCAAGTACCCCAACCCCGGGAACCTATGTCTTTGCCCACTGTAGATATTTCCTATAAATAGAAACATACAAAATGAGACCTTTTGTGTCTGGCTTCTTTCATTAAGTGTGATATTTTCAAGGTTGATCCATGTTATAGTATGTATCTGTAATGCACTTTTTTAATTCCCAAATAACATTCCTTCCTATGGCTTATAAGAAATTTATTTTTCACAGTTCTAGAGGCTGGAAATCCAAGATCAGGGTGTCAGCATTGTTTGGTGAGGGCCCTCTTATGGTTTCAGACTTCTCTTTGTGTCTTTAATTGATGGAAGATGTTTGGGAGGTTTCTTGTATAACAGCTTTGAATCCCATTCATGAGGGCTCTTGCCTTAGGAACTGAGCACCTCTCAGGATGTCCCTCCTCCTATTACTAGCACACTGGGTATTAGGATTTCAGCATAAGAATTTAGGAGAACACGTGCTTTCAGACCACAGTATATACCACATTTAGTTTATCCATTCATCAGATGATCCACATTTGGATTGAGCCTTCCTTTGGCCCTTGTGAATAGCATTGCTGTGAACATTCTTGTACCAGTTTTTGTTTGAATACCTGCTTTCAGTTCTTTGGGATATATACCTAAGAGTAGAGCTGTTAGATCATATAATGAGTCTTTTTGAGAAACTACTAAACTCTCTTCCTCTATGGCTGCACCATTTTACATTCCTACCAGCAATGCCTGAGGATTTAAATTCTGTCCAACACTTATTGTCTGTTTTGGTTGTTTATTTGTTTGTTTATAACTAGCATAGTAGATGTGAAGTGCTATCTTGTGGTTTGAGATGGATTCTTTTTAAGTTTATTTTTGTTTTTACTTAATTCATTTATTTGCTTGAGTTTACTCATATGGTATTTGTCTTTGTCCAGCCAACTTATTTCACTAAACATAATGTCCTCTAGGTCCAAGGGATGATTTTTATAACACTACTTTTTTATGTGTCTGGACTCAAATTATCTTAATAATGTTTTTAAGGCTGTCCTATTGTAAAGTTATATGAAGAACCACATAGACATAATCTCCAATAAAAGATAAATGTAAAGGATCTTTTCTTTCATAGACCCTGCTATAGCTAAGCACCATGGTCCTGTGATCTGTGCTGGAGATAAACTGCTTGCAGACAGTCAATTGCTAATTATAAATGAGGCTTCCAACCTCTAATTACTTTTTCTTTTCTTTTAGGGATTTCCTCTGGATCATCCAAAATGCTTTTAAAACATACTGGATAATTGCAGAGACACTGCCCAAGTGGGACGTCCATATTCTCTGCCCTGCTGTCTTCTGATGACATTTTGACAAGTTGGAGGCCAAGTTATCACTGCAAATGATGAGTGATGAAAAGAGCCTTGGGGTGTCCCAAAAGTTGGTCTCACCTTCAAGGAGCACAAGTAGCTGCTCCTCCAAGCAAGGAAGTCGACAGGTAACATTTTACTAATACAAATTTAAATCACCAAGAAATGTGGACATTTACTTGGGAAATCCTTCTTTTAGGAACATTTGTTTTCAGTTCTATCTTAATTGTTAGTCATATGTTAATTATATGAAAAGAGTAAATTTTAGATAATTTCAGTGTTGTTAGTGCCTGCCAGATGGGAAAAACTGTATTTGGCTCTTTGCATTATTTTATTCAATTCTTGCCACTGTCTTCCAACACAGATATTAATATCCCTATTTCTCTGTAAGGAAGCTGAGTCAGACCAATTGAGTTACGTGCCCAGGGATACACAACCAGTAAGTCACAGAGCAAGAAACCAAAGTTGAGTCTGACTCAGGAACCCACATTTTGCTTTATACCTGACTAACCAAAACCGAAACAAAACAAAAAACAATCACATTTCCAGTATTTATAATATTCTTCTGCCTCCTCTTCCTTCTCTTTATTAAACCTTTTATGGCAGCTTCTAACCACAGAGTTCCCTGTTTGTGACTTTGAGTGTCACCTGATTTCCTTTTCTAATGGATGAGGGAACTGAATCAACACAGAATGGTCAAAAGGAATTAAGTAGGAAGAAGAAAGAACTGAAACAAAGGACCAAGTAATTAATTCCTAAATAGTTTTCAGCTAATTATATGTTGTTTCTTGGTTTCCTTTCTAATAAATCTCTGTTGGCAGAATTTGCTGGTTTTAGATCAATGGCAGTGAATGCACATTAATCATTATAATTCATCCACTTTCAGTTGAGTAGAGAGAGAGTGGGCAGATGGGTTTACAACCAAAGTGATCTCTGAGCCTTTTCTGGAACTGTTGTCTGAGTTGGCATGGCCATGGGAAGCACTGGCCTAAGAATTGGCCCAGAGTCCTTCGTTCCAGATTTGGGAGCAACAATCAGTCACCTCCCACCTCAGGCATGTCCACACACTTGGGACACACAGTCACAGGGCTCTGTTCCTGGGACAGGGAGCTTGCCACCCCACAATGCCTCTTTATCTCATTTGAATCTACAACTCCAGACAAATTACTTTTTGCTACAGGTCTGACATTTGGGGAGACCTCCAAGATCTCCCTGGGGGTCAGGAAAAAGAACCTTTTCAGCATTGCCTTCACTTCTTTCTAGGACTTAAAATAAATGAATAAAATTAGTCCTTGGCTAATGCTGCATGGCTCCCTGGGAGTTCTAGTTTCATGAGAGTAGCTATGTCCAATGCTCTTTGTCAGCTTTCCATGGGGGTATTTCTTTCCCTAAACCCAAATTCTGGTTGGGATTAGAGCTGAATATATTATCTTTCCTCTACCTTATGCTTTTACAGAGTCTACTGCTATGTTCTCCTTGGATAGAAAAGAATAGATTCATTTAAGCAGGTGCTTATAATACCAATAGGAACTGGAGCAGTGCAGTGAATATCTGTATCGATTACTACAGAAACTTTTTTGATGTGTTATTTGAAATTGATTGATTTGGTTTCACGGAGCATTCTCTGGAGTTACATCATAAAGAGTAAGAGGGATGTGCTTGATGCCTCAGCTTTTTCTGACAGAGTGGTTGGTCATTCAGTCATTCATTCAACAAAAATTTGAGGCATCAAGCCTCATGACTCTTAGGGAAAATAGCCCTATCCAGCAGGTTCTTATTGCTAAATATAGTCACGATCCTGTGTTTCCAACGACTTCATTGGAAAGTGCAAGTTAAACACATAAAATTTTAAGATTTGTATAATAAATTTAATTTGAGGAATGCAAAAATATAACTGATGAAAAAAGCTATGCAACAACTGACTTGTTTTTAAAGTTCTAGGTTAAAGTCATTTTCAGATTGTTCTATTCATTTCATTTTATCTGATGTTGATTTTATTAGCCATCTTTCTTAGCGCTGGTTTTTCTCACTTGCTTTGGAATTACAGTGTAGAGCTTCATCTCAAGTTTGTTTTCCTCACACTCTTTCTATGTAATCACCCTGCCCTGTAGGGATTCACTGTTACCTACTTCTTACTTCTGAAGATCCCTGGTGACAGGTCTAGATTTGTAGCTAGGGGCTTTCATTCCATGACTATGCGAGACTATACAAGATCAAGCACTAGGCCATCATGTAGCATGACCCAGGTTCTGATCGAGAGGTTGTATCTGCCTCCTGCCCACTCCCTGAATAAGCAGGTTTTCAAGGCTCCCTTCCAGTGCATTTTGGTGCTTTTCCAGAGATATTTTTACTCCCATTAGCCACAGAAGGACTCCTGCACACCTGTCAATAGCAGGCTTTGCATTTATATTTTATATCTGATTCATGAAGATATTTAAACTTACTTTCAAATCACACTAACCCCCCCCCCCAAATGCTGCATGTTTATAGTTTGTGTATTTTGTTATATCTGGAGTGGGGATAGTGGTGGAGAGGGGACACGAAATGTACAAATTTATAATCCTGGTTGAAAGACTTTATCTTCATAACTCATTTTTCTTTAAGTTCTCATTCAACATTGTCAGGAATCGAATCACCTTGCAGAAAACTCCCAACAAAAGGGAATTCTAACTCAATCCTTGCTTCAAGTTTCTTCCCCACCCTAGGCTTTAATGCAGCTCTACCTTTAATTAGATGGATCCATATGAAACCATTCTACCCTTTTGAATTTTGTGATTCTCTTAGAGAGGATATTCATTTATTGCTTTAATACTTTGGAAAAGATCTTTATAGAAATAGTATGTGCCCCCTGTAGATCATTATCAAGGTACATGCAATCTATGTGAAGTACAATACTTTACTTTTAAATGGCTGCTGATATATAAAATGAAACCTGAGGATGATCCTTGGTTGTGAATGTCACTGGTGACACTGAGTGGTTTTCTTGGAGTGGTGGATGAGAAACGTTGATTAGAGCCTATTCATGAGAGAATAGGAACAGAGAAAGAGGGTACCCCAGTTCCACTAAGTCCCCAGACAGGACTTGAGAGAGACATCACAAATGTTTTATTTTGGGAGCATTGAGCTTGGCTAATGCTGTACTTAACACTGGCCTCTCTCCCCACGTGGATAACTTTCTTTTGATTAATTCATTGCTTGATAGAGTGTATGCTTCTTTGAGTACTAGACCCTGTTTGCATATCCTTTTAACTCTCCAAGCACCTAGCACAGGGTTTCCTTTGCCCTGGGCAGATGCAAATGATTGGATTCAATTTACTGATGGTCAGAACAAATATCCCTCCATTAGAGCAAGTTAGAAGTATGCATGGGGGATGGGTACAAAAAGCCCATAAATTTCTCAGTTTCCTCACTCCAGTGACTTACTGTGAGGATCTTAAAAAATGAACAAAGGTCTCTCTGCTGAGTCTCTTTTGGCAAATGATGAAATTCCTAAATGCTTTGTATAATTATGGTCTCTGAATTGGAAAGTATAGAACAGAAGTATAGACTGGCTTTGATAAAACTGACCTGTATTCATGTTGGCTCTGCCTTTTGCTAGCTGTGCCATTCTATTTAAAACCTCAAGGTCTCCGTTTTTTTTTTAAATTTAAATTTTATTTTTATATTCCCCATACAATTGCAACCCCCTTATTTTGACCCCAATCCCGCCTTTCCCTGCCCCCTACCCTCCATAGTGTGTCTCTGGTTCATAGTTGTTTGTTGATTTTGATATTTTCTTTCTTATAGTTATTCTTTTTCCTGGACCCTTATTTAAGTTTTCTAGATTCCTGCTATGAGTGAGACCATCCGGTGTTTTTCTTTTTCTTTCTGGCTTATTTCACTGAGCATGATCCCTTCCAGCGCCATCCATGTTGCTGCAAATTGCATGTGTTTATCTTTTTTGAATGCCGAGTAATATTCCATGGTATATATGTACCACATCTTCTTGATCCAGTCATCTATTTTTGGGCATTTGGGCTGTTTCCATAGCTTAGCTATTGTAAACAGTGCTGCTATAAACATAGGGGTGCAGGTGCTCTTTGGAATTGATGTTTCTGTGTCCTTTGGGTAAATACCTAGGAGTGGAATTGCTGGATCATATGGAAGCTCTATGTTTAGTAGGTCCAGAAATCTCCACACAGCTCTCCATAGTGGTTGGACCAGTTTGCACACCCACCAACAGTGCAGGAGAGTTCCTTTTTCTCCACAACCTCATTTTTTTAGCTGTTAAACTGGTAAGTGTGCTTACTTTTGAGAACTACAGAAAATAATCAATAGAAAGGACCTAGGCTAACTCATGGCATACTTTTGGTAAAAGTGTACTAAATAAATGAATGAACAGGCATCTGGTTTAGGCAAGAAATATCAGTATGCACAAAACTCTGTAGATATATTAAGTAGATTAAGGGATATCTAAGTGGGAGAGAGGATTGCTATTTCAAAACTTGCAAAATATGAGTAATTGCAGTTTCTTCTTGTCTTTTTCCCACTGCCCCCATATATTTCCTGCCTAGAACTTTCAAAGTAACACATTACAGAAGCCAAATTGAGCTAAAGATGAATGAATAGGGTTTTGTCTTTATTGAAAGAGTCCTATATGACCTAAGTTCTACTTCTTCAACCAATATGTAGTGAGAACCCATTATTAAAAGACCCTGGCAGGGAGATAGGAAGCTACAAAGGTGGGGGGCAGCTGAACAAACCACTACAAATAAGAAATCAGCTCTGGGAAGCCTGTGGGTTGTAAAGAGAGCATGCCCTCTGTTCTTTTCCTGTGGGTGGCTAGCATATGCTCTATAAGTCAGCAATCAAAAAGTGAATCCCGCTAAAACATTTGACCATTGCTTTCTCATGATCGCAGGAGAGTAACTGGAGCGATCTATTGCTAGGTAGGTCTCCATACAAATATGCAGTTTGCTCTCGTCACCCTTCTGTCCATGGGCTAAACTAAGGTGGCCTTTGAGCTCTCCCAAGGTCACCTGATGAGTGTTTATTTATGCAGCCTATTAGATTATGCTGCTCTCCAGGGAACAGGCTGGCTGGGCTCAGTGCCAGCCCCCATAAGACCTTAGAACTGAATGGAGGAGAT